AAAAGATTGCTCAATTTTCAGCATGAAATTGCCGTGATTGTACGTGTAAAAATACAATAATACCGCAGTCTTGAAGGTAGAGCGAGAAGAGGAGAAAGGAGAGTCTGCGGTCAAAGTGGAAGATACGTGACGGTTGCACTAGCTATTTCACCGACTAATGGCCTTGTCTTCCACTCTTCAATTATCCGATCAATTAGGAATGAATGCGCAGAAATTTTACGAATTTATGGCACAGACGCGTTTTAAGTAACAATGGGCGTAAGAACTATAGAACTCTCTATTGTTCTGCGGCATTGCAACTTCCCCACATACAAATGTCTTGGTTTTCACACTGATTATATATCAACATATGGGTAACACATTTTTGAAATAAAATGTGGATAAACTCTATTTTGAAACAAAGTTTCTTTTGTATTACAATCATAAGCACTCAAAACAATAGCCAATAGAAGCGTCTAATTTGCTATGTTCCCCACATASAATTGCCTTAATATTGTAGCTAAAGAAAGCTTTCATGAAGTCGGAATCAAATATTAATGTATTGAATACCATGGGTTTTTTTAAGTTTCCACTTTTTTGAATATTCATGTAACCTATTAACCCTCGGCACTTTCAGATAGTAAGACTAAGTCGTCAGCATGYAATAAACAATTGATATTTGGAGTGTTCCCTTATGTGATTCCCTTATGCTGGATCGCATTACTGTTCAAATATATTAGGAATATCAWTTACAAGATTAGGGCTCAAGCTACAACCTTGTTTAACTCCTATGGATGATTAAAAAAAATAAGTTATGCCTTTTGATGTTTTGACGCAACATCGTACATTTTGTGTCTACTGACACATGCATGAAGTTTTTTGACTTTTCTAAAATRTGAATCTGTTATCTGTTACAAAAATATGATCAGCTGTTCACACTGGAAAAAATTGCGCGCTTTAAAGGTTGTAAATATGATGTAAGTGTCCAAAATTCTGTAAATTTGATGTAAATGATTTCCATTAAATTTACAGAATTTTGGACACTTACATCATATTTACATCAAATTTACAACCTTTAAGCGCGCGATTTTTTCCAGTGATCACTTCTATATCCTGCATGCCCTGAATCCAATTTGATTCGGATTAAAGTATATTATTTAATTMCAGAAAACAGGGAAGATATACTATATTTATACTAAGAACAAAAAGCATTAGCATGGATATGCAAGCAATTTTCTGTACGCCATAAATGTGACATAGTAGATTGACACCAAAAAGCCATATTGATTGACACCATATTGATTAAAACATTTATCACAGTTTTTTGCAGTAAAGAGACGCTTCTAAAGAAGAGAGACGTATACGCACTTCTAGCTCATAAAAGGTGACAAAACAATATAATTACTACTGAATAACAGACAACCCAACATATTTGTACTTAGGTTTACTTCGATGCAGATTTACATGTAACAAAAATACATTCAAACTTTCTGTGACGAATCGCAACTGCCATAAAACCTCAGGTCCACCTTGTTAGAATGTCTGATTGTTTTGTTGTTATTTTTTTTTAGTTTAGTGCAGGTTTAGTAGTTTAGTGATATGTTTTTTCTTCTCTAGTTGTTCTTTTTGGAAAGGTGCTTTAGTTAGCCCATGTTAAAGGTAAAGAAAAACAAGTAAAAAAATAACCATCAAAGTCGGTTTTTTTAGGGTTCTACGTTTGACGGCTAAAAAAATCGACGGGGCTCTACGTTTGACGGCTAAAAAAATCGACGGGGCTCTACGTTTGACGGCTAAAAAATCGACGGGGCTCTACGTTTGACGGCTAAAAAAACCGACGTTGATGGTTATTTTTTTACTTGTTTTCCTTTACGGCAACACCATCGAGATCCTCCTCTATGAATTTCACAGTAAAACAATTGTTGTCTCGCAACCGTTTCTGTTTCGTGTAGCGTTGTTGTACGAAGTATAACCAAGGCCTACTTTATTCACGAGTAATATAAATAAATAAGTTCGCCGGGGAATGGGGCTTTTAGGTCTTTTAGATTGAATGGCTGCAGGCGAGGGCGAGACCGCTATTACGGCCTCAAAACTCAACTGGCGGTCGAGTAGATGGAATTACATGTAATTGTGTGGCTCTTCTACGARCGAGGGGCGAATGGAATGACAGGTCTAGCTTTTCTTAAATATATGTTATACTGGATCAATTGTTGAAAATACCAAACAGTACTCAGAACGAGATGCTATACTCATCCACTTGAGGGATTGACGATATAATAGTCAGACTCCTATAARATACTTGAACATACTAATAAACAATAGGTTAATAAGCACATCGCAAACAGGCTTCGTAGGACATGTCTGCTTTCATTTTAGCAGTACATGTAAACATCTTGGCTTCCCCTTTCGCGCTGATTTATTTCGAAATTAATAAACTCATTCAATGACTATCTTTTATAATCATGTGCACTTTTTTTTTTTGCTCAAATTGATATATTTCAAGTCAAATCCTTGGTCATTGGTAATTGTCCAATCAGCTCGCCATCAGATCATAATCTATCATAATCATCCATTACTAGACAACATCAAAAAACTAAAAATATCARCGTCTACAATTCCCGGAATGCTTTTTTCCCCGCAGTGAACGATAATAATGGACCATCGATTGTTATAGATATGCGCGGATCCCCTATTTCGGGGCATAGGGCAGACATATCCCAGGGACTTTTCTTGTCCGCATTGGCTCTAWAATGCATTGTTGCCATTCGCTGGACGTGCCAACGCATTTTTTTATTTGTCGTTTCTGGAATCAAAGGTYTTAACCTTTAGTGATTAAAAACACTTATGCCAACTTGTAAATGACACAATTACATCATACAAAAAGGGAGTMAAGATCTTTCCGTTTTTGTGCAGACTGGTTATTTTTCGGACCTGAAGGTTATACAATTAGCTCTTATCAAAATGCTCACTTAATGATTAATATATGCACRTACAATGGAATATTTGTACAAAATGTGTGAATTTCATGAGACATCAGTAGAAGCTATTTAATCTTATTACTTTATAGGCCCTGTTATATGTTGCCGGAATGACCGTAGAGGAACTTGACCAAGACAACTCTGTACAGGATGGATGTTTTGCTCGGTTTAAAAGATATTTTTGGGAAGGTACGTGAATAGTTATTAGAGTTTTTCTGCATCTCTGTTTTCACAGACCTCTGTTCACACATAAATCATTCAAACAATTAAATCAATGTAGCTTGAAACATGCGCTTTACGTGACTCGTTAGCGCGTACACTTCTACTGTGTACTGACATCTACTGTTTCCAAAAGCCTGAATATTTTGTCTTTTTTTCGTGACTGAGTGTTTGGAAATTTTACGACTTTTAAACTTGTTTATTTATTTCATATTAGCTTCTTTTGATACGTGCATGAATCAGTGTCTTTAGGAAAGCTAGTATTTTCATAATTTTTGAGAAGTGATCAGTGTTCATTCCAAGTGTTCTACAAATACAACGCTATGCCGCGACTGTGCTTCTGTCAGCATTTTCCAGCAAATTTTTGTGCAAGAATAGAATAAGGGAATTATTGTGATAAAACAAAGACGAAAATTGCRACACTGTTATATAATCGTATACGTGATGCCAAGAAATGTGTACAGAATTCTCTCTATATTTGAAGCAGTATCGATTGCAAAAATCTATCCTCTCTGGCCGAAATGTCAGTGATATGTAATCCTATATAGATATAGGTTACAAACGCTAGGGCAAAAGGATTGAAATCCGCCCTAACCGAGAGCCAGGATCAGGGCACTGAATTCGATTTCATAAATACGATATTTTTATTAATATATGTCGCAATTTGACTTCTGAAATGTAGGACAATTTAGAGAAAGTTTGTGTGCTTATAATTTCATTAGACTGTCGGATATTTTTAAGAGGTACTTCAGTGACTAAACTCAGAATCCTGAATTCAAAATTCAAAACCTGTACCTGGGGTCTTAATCCACAGGACATGTAGGWATTCAAAACCTTGTACAGGCCAGCGAGTGCGGCTAGCTGGTTTAATAAGAATATTACATGATACTAGTGCAGACTTATATATAGCTTGGAATAACGAGAATGTAAATGCGTCATTATACTAAAAGAAAACGTACCTACAATCATGTACAATATGCCTTTGGACGGCGATAAACATTTACTTAACAATTATTYAACATCAATTAGCAAAATCATCATGGGTCCTCTCGAGTGTGCAATCTGCTTTCGTCGCTTGTCATTCACCATTTTCGGGAAACGTCTTTGAGATGATAAAAATTTTGGAAACTAGCAGTAAACTAGTGTGAGCTGGGTCGGTGTTTCTAAACCGAGAAACAGTTGTGTAAAAAGATGAATTTAACACCGGGGACTGATCCGGATTAAAAATACCGGGGATGCTCGTCGGATCTTTAAGGGGTAAAAATTCGTGATTGCAAATCTTTTAGGGTGCCAATTTGGAGTTTATGGAAATTTGAATTTTCTGCAATCTCTTAGGATGCTGGAAAAGAAGAGAAAGAGTGCATCGATATTGATTTTCCTCGCGTTTGTTTTGCCATTAAATATTTTATACATTTTATCATAGGAACTGATGTAACAATATTTGTAGTGCAATCTCTTAGGGGCTTAAAATCAGTCAGCCACGCCCCTTTTTCAAGACTTCCAGGATCGTTTTAGGGGTATTTTTTAAAATTTCCGACGAGCATCCCCGGTACTTTTACCCCGGAGTCCCCCCTCCCCCCAGGTTTACTGACGTTTCGGACGTTAATCTTTCGTCGGAGTAAAACCCAAACCTCTTCACTACGACGAGGGAATAACGTCCGAAACGTCAGTAAGTTGTTTCACCTACTTTAGAATATATTTGCACTAGAAGAGATAAACGCAAGTCAAAACAARATCTACGCTGTCAGACCTTGTACTATATACATATCTAGACTCTGATGATAATGCCATTGATTTATAAATGATTATTTCATTATGTAGAGAAGTCAAATTAGTATATAGACCAGATTTGTAACGAATATATGACATGAGAATGGTTGTGTACTTCTGACTGCGCATAAAATGGCAAACATTGTTTAGATGGTCACTATAATCAATTCGAATGATTTCCAGGATTTGAAATTTGAATCTTTCATCTTTCCCATAGGTCAATCATTAAACAAGCGGCATCACACAGCCAAGACAAAATTACAGCATGACTCCCCCTGGTACAAGGTTATMCTTGTTAAGTACAGACGATTTATTGGTCTTGCTTTACCAGCTGTCTTCTTTCACTTCTGGTGGTGGGGTGTTTTTATCAAGCACGATCTTTGGCATCTATTTCAAGAGAAATACTATATGTCAATAACCATGATTTTTGGATCGATTATAGCAGGTAATGCATAGAACCTAAAGATATTAATTGGTTTATAGGAACGAGGAATATTGTTGATTACAGGGGTGTAGTCATCAGTGGTCATATAGCTGTGGAAGCTAGAGTGAGATATAAACACTAATAATAATATTGGGTTTTTACTTGCTCCTTGACTGTTCTGTTGATATCGTGTTTTTTGGCAGGGATGACCAGCGAAGGTGGTGCATCTGTTGCCTATCCGATAATGACATTGGCCTTTAACATCAAACCAAGTGTAGCAAGAGATTTCTCATTCATGATTCAATCGTGTGGGATGACAGCAGCAGCGTTTACTATCATTTTTATGGTAATGACTTCTACAACCACCACAAAGATAACCAACCATCACCCACCACTACCACTGCCACCACMACTACCACTACCACCACAACCAAGACTACCACCTCCACCACCACTACAACACTACCACCATCACCCACAACTAACACTGGCACCACAACCACCATCACTACCACTACCACTACAACCAAGACTACTACCTCCACCACCACTACAACACTACCACCATCACAACCACTACAACGATAACCGAACAACACTAACATAACCACCACCACACCACTACTACTTCCACTGCCACCACTACCACACTACCACTAAAACGAAGACTAACACCTCCACTACCACTATAACAATACCACCATCACAACCACTACAACGATAACCACAACCACGACTACCATAACCACCACCACACCACTACCAGATACCACACTACCATGCACTACAGCCACAACCACCACTACCATAACCATGCACTTCCATCACTATTGTAACCAACAAGAAGTATTGGAACTGCTATGCTACCTACCTTAACAATAACATGTAGCATCTTATGTACTTTTAAGCGTGTCCAYACAGAGCAGTTTTCACTGGTGTTCTGTTCCCTTGGTGGAGTCATTGGTATGATTTTCGGCCTGGAGGTCATAGACCCTCTTCTCACTCCTCCCTTTAAAAAGATGGGCTTCGTCTGCATTTGGTTCACATTCGCCTTTGCGCTGTTCCTTCTGAATCGTTACAGAGATCGAAAAACATACCAAAGAATCCCTGACTTTAAGGTGTGGAARGCAATTGTMTTACTTCTGACGGGTTTCATGGGAGGTATCTTCTCTGCATTCTCTGGAAGTGGCTTGGATATCTGCAGCTTCAGCGTGTTGACTCTACTGTTCCGCGTAACGGARAAGACTGCCACGCCTACCTCAGTGATACTCATGGCCGGCAACACGTTGGTAGGGTTCTTCTGGAGACAAGTCATGATTGATGGAGTCAGCGTTGATGCATGGGAGTTCACAGGGGTGTGTATTCCTGTGGTGGTCATCGGGGCACCTCTTGGGTCTCTCATAGGCACGCACTTTCATCGTTTGGTCTTAGCAGGATTGTTGTATCTTACAGATACTGTTGCCCTCATCAGCGCCTTCTGCATCGTTCCACAGACGCCTCCACTGATTGGCACTTCTTTAGGAATAATTGTGCTTGGATTCAGCTTCTTTTTCTTTCTGACCAAAGCTGGAGAAAGAATCATGATAAATAYCGAGAGCCGAGGTGCCGCTGTGCTGCAACACAATCTTGATTCCATTGACAAGAATGACAACACCAGAACAGATGTTGATCCCGAGAAAGTTCCACTGGGTGATGAGAGCCTCCCTACAGATAATGTCTAACTTTATACTTCGGATTATAGCCTCCCTACAGATAAATGTCTAATTATAGCCTCCCTACAGATAATGTTTAACTTTATACTTCGGATTATAGCGTTAATCCAGGGTTAACTTCATAGGGTTTCTATAAGAGTTAACCCCGGTTAAGTTGGGTTTTCTAATACTCTAGGGAAGGGGATATATCACGCACGTGAAATAAATAAAAACCTTATTATATAGTCAATGCACTCTTCACTCTTCTCGAAGCCATATTTCCTTCAATGTACTCCATTGGATTTCCCATTACTAGTAAAACCAGCCAATCAATTACTAAATACTGAAAACTGTCAAAAACTGAAATAATCACTGCATGTTTTATCAAAMTTTTAGCACGTTTGACTAAATACTTTTGCGAAGCGAGCGAGTTAAAAATGTACAAAATTTGCGTTTCATTAGTTGTGATCCACCTTTTAAGTTCCTAGAATCCTAGCGATTCTTGGTTCTTTTGTTATTAAAT